TTTTATAACAAGTATATGGGTAAAATTATAAACTATTTAAGAATTGATATTTTTTAAAATATTTTATGTACCTAATGTTTAAAATAAATTACTTTTTCTACTCCCACCTTTAAAACGCCCATTATCCCACGACACTTAGTGACCTTTTAAATACACATTGACAAGCTGTGGCTTGTAGCATAAGGTCTTTAGTCATGGGCAGAGGCGTGCTGGCAGAATCAATGCAGGCCTGGACTAGATGGTAGAGCAGTCCAGGCCCAAGCCAATTTGGTTAAGGGTTAGCATAAAAGATACGTTTTTAGATTTTTTTACGGGAGTAAAACAAGTCAGTTTTAAAAAGACTTAAATCTTAAGTCTTAAGTCAATTCTAAAATCAAAATGATTTAAATCTTAAGTCAATTCTAAGATAAAGTTCAAATGATTTAAGTATTAAGTCTTTGAATTAAATCATTTTCTTTCAAGTCAAGTCATTTTCGCAAATTCTTAAATCAATATTAAGTGATTTAAGTCATCTTATGACTTAATTCCTTTAGTAAGTCGTTTTTATGACTTAAGTCTATATTTTTTATTTAAATCGTGATCTAAGAGTTAAGTCAATAAAATGACTTAAATCAAAAATTGTGATTTAAATCAAAATAATTACCCTTAAGTCAATACAACGATTTTTTAAATGTTAATAATAATTTTATGGTATTAATGATACTGATATTATTAATCTATTGTAGATACAGATGATAATAAACCATTATGTTAAGAATTTAAAACGATTTATTTTCAGAACACTTAAAAATTAAAATACATTTTTTGAGTATATAGTAGACAATAAAAATAAAAACTTAAACCACCTTTTTTAGTAGAGTAGACATACAGGGAGGCTACTTTTTTATATACATAAATGGGTAACTTCTAAACAGTAATATATTCAAACTCTGTTAAAATAGATAAAAGTTGAAGTATTTCAAAAACTGATAACTTGTTGTTTTGTTAACTTTTGTTAGCTGGTTCAACATCCATCTAGAAAAAAAATATTCCTCCCTTAAGGGAGTAATGATGGGATGTTCCAAACTCTCGATTCACGACCGCTCAAGATGTACGACTGCTCACGACTGATTGTTTCCACTTTGCACTAATATTCACAAATTAGACCTAACTACGCACGAACACGACGAATGTTGGCAAACAAAATAACAAAATTATAAATCCCCACTTTTTTTAATTCATTTTAGACAGGACGTTTTTTAATGTAGCCGTCAAACGGTTCCGAAAAGCTAACTTTACCGCGGCGGTTTTTTTATCCACTAGCGGTAGCAATTGTAGGTAGGAAATTAAAGGAGTTTTTGATCTGCTGCCGCGTGAACCCATGGCAGTTCAAAATAAAATGCTGCTGTTAAAAATTTATAAAAAAATATATGAAAAATCTGACTTAAATATTTTCTAAAAAGACTTAAATCTTTTTTAAAAAGACTTAAATCTTTTTTTGACTTAAATCGTTTCTATCTGACTGAAATCGTATGTACTGATTTAAGCCTTTTATTAATGACTTAAGTTTTTTTCTATTTTGAAAAAAATATTTAAGTCACAAATCATTTTGAAAATTACTTAAATTTTAAGTCTTAAGTCAGTTTTAGAGAAATGACTTATTACCAAATGACTTAAGTCATTAAAACGATTTAAATCAAAAAAACGATTTGTTTTCTGAGAGCTTGCAGCTCTGATTAAAACTTTCTTTTTTTATTTATATTTAGTGTTTAGTGATATAACTTTTTGTTTGGTATAAAAATCTTTTTTCTATTTGCATAACAAGTCCAGCAGACCACCATGGTAGCGCAGGCCACCGGGCATTCGCCCGGTGTCCCGGCGGCCCAGCACGCCCCTGGTCATGGGATTAGTTAGCTTTAAGTTATTTGACAGTTGTCAAATGTCATAAAATCGTTAGTGCCCTTCTTCTTAAATAACACTAAATGTAAAAATTATTTTATTATCTCAATACAAAAATTCAAAAGCATTAAATATTTTCTCAACGCCAATATTTGAAGAGTTTATATGAGCATTGTACTGACCTTTCAATTTCGCCGGCGGTAAACTAGATATAACTTAAAGTCAGGATCGGACTTCACCGTGAAGTGCTAATAAAACATTTTCCTCACTTTCACTGTGAAAAACAGTTGTTTAATCCATTTTCAAGAAATATATTTTAATTTATTATCTATGTTTATAAAACATACAAATTTGACATTTGACATTAATACAGATTACTTGAGAGATTACCCTATTGTTTTACAGATAATAATAAGTATTTGTCGTAGAAAAAGTACCTATAGTATGCAACTCGTTTATAAACTTTTCTAGGCACTCATTAATTTAAGCACTCGCTCGCAAATTCGTGTCTAAAATGGCGTTTATCATACTTGATACACAATATACTATTATAAATTTGTATTTGTATTTTTAATTAATTATAATTTAATTATATTAACTAACATTTTTTTTTCAAAAGTACTCGTATTTTTTACTCGTGTTTTCACGATTACTACTCGTAACCTTAACCTCTCTTTACAAATGTACCTAAGAGTAAAGTACCCAGTCAGCATCCAATTCAGACGTCTTAAACAGCTCCTTTTTATGAGCTCAGAATTCTGAGCTGTTAATGAACTCATAAATAAGAAGTCAATTTTTTTACGTACAAATGAAGATCTTTTCTTGACCTCTTTTTGAACAATTTATTTTGATCTTACAGAGTATTCTTTTTTCTTATTTCCAATTGAAATCATACTATTAACTCTTTTAGAAGTCAAAATACAGACGTCGAATTAAGTACTTGTTAATGGATTCATTTTTAATGCGCAGTTTGAGGCTTGCGCAGAATTTCTAATTTTGTGTTTATTTATTTTCCTAGTGCGCTCTAACCTAGTTTCAATAAACATATATGGTTTTTATTAAGATAATTGTGTTAAATTTTATTAATTTTAATCAATTTATATTTGTTTAATGGTCATTTTTCATTATTGTTTTTTTACGCCTGAATAATAATAGTAATGGTAAGTAATCTTTTGCGTTGATGTTGGAATTTTAATTTATTAATATATTTTTAATTTTTACCTGTCTATAATATATTTTTGTTAATTCATTAGAAATCAATGCCCAGGCAGCATACAATTGAGAAAGATTTCTATAGGAAGTCTGTTGAAAAACATTTTACTGAGGTCACAATATGACATCTTAGAGAAATCATTTTTAGGAGCTCAAGATTAAGAGTTCTTGATGAATTCATAAATTCATTTTAATGCGATTACTTTCTTCTCACCGCTGTAACTGCTTGTATTTGATATAAGAAGCGGCGAAGTTGAATTTAGAGCGTGCTCCATACCAAACCGTTTGGTCCAAACGGTCTTAGACCTAGGTAAACGGCAGTGTTGTGAACCGTACGATTTTAATCGTATTTGTACGATTATCTTCATGTCGGTACGATGTACGATTCATTATGTCAAATCGTACGCATAAATACGATTTTTTGTCTTATAGGAGTTCTTTGTATTTTCGAAAATTATTTACTATTTTTAGTTGCATCTTTGAAAACCGAATTATTTTGCCCCACAAATGAATTAGGCAACATTGCGATCATGTTTAGATTTTCAGTGCTGCCAACAAGAAGTGAAAAAATAAAATTTACCCCTTCGGGGTTTTCTATGACCAATACCATTTTATGTTTCTTCCACCACCTGTAAAAAGTATTTTATTGCATCTACAAAAAAAACTGGTTTGCAGAACTTATTCGCCAGCGGTTTGGCGCTGCGCGAGATGAAGATTTATAGTAACAATACAAATAGAGGTGATGAAGAAGAAATACTATTTGCAAATTGAAAAATTAAATTAAGATCAATAAGTTGACCAGTTACTTCATCAATATTGATGTTCCTCGTTCTATGACTTTTTTGTAGTACCTAATAAAATGACTTTACAAAGAATAACTTGTTTCTATCACACTGAATAACGCCTTTGATAAACAGACAGGATAGGATAGGACGCGTCCTACGTCCTACGTCCGGACGTATCGTAAGTAGGTAAACCATTGTTTATTACACATATTTTTAAGTATTTGAAATTTCTTAACTTTAAACAATAAATTTAAATACCAGGACGAAAAACTTAAATTAAAATTATTTTTTTTATATTTTTAAATTTTAATTCTGTTTTATAAAAAAATCGTATTTTAACTGTAAAAATTAAACACCACTTTTTATCAAATAAAACTTTTATTTGATAAAAAGTGGTGTACGATTTTTACAGTTAAAATACGATTTTTTTTGGTTTTCCGTACGATTATTGTTTTTCCGCAAGTTGGCAACACTGGTAAACGGCTACCCGATACTGACCGTCAGTAACTGACGAACTCCAAAAGAGCGTCTATCGGTGCCGGTGAAGAGCACGCTTGAATTTAAACAAAAGTGAGACGAAGTAATCGCAATTCCTAAAATAAGCGAATACGAGCAAATTATTAAAATGATTTTAATAAAATCAATTTAACAAATTAATAAAATTAATAAAATAAACTTGACATGTCAAAATAAGCAACGATCCAGTATGTAATTTTTTTATCAGTACCCTAGTAGTACTTCTTTATCCAAAACGGGAAATTCTAAAGAAGTCTTTTTATAAGTTTATTCAGTTGGACTCTTTAAAATGCTTAATTGCGAAGTCAAAGAAAAGGGTTCCTTAAGAGTTCTTTTTTGAGAAGTCTTGATTAGTTCAATAGGTGGCGCATTCAAAGTCTTAAGAACTTCTTAAAAACTTCTTTCTGATGTTGTATTTGACGTCCAAATCATAAAATAGAGCTTATGCAGACTTAATTAAGACGTCATATTGCTGTCTGGGTACTTACGAGTAAATATAAAAGAGATTATCTATCTATCTATCATAGATATAACTTTCTTAAGAATGTAAACTTAAACTATGACTGCCTTAAAATCGAGTTATGTAAAATTAAAAGCTTTTTTACTTACCCATAATTGTCGCTTCGTGCATTAACTTATTGGGTATGCACCCCACATTAACACACGTTCCCCCCAATCCCCATTTCGTTCCCTTCGGAGTCGGGGTAACATAATTAATTACGGCAACTTTTGCCCCCATGCGCGACGCCACTTTTGCCGCCGCCAGTCCTCCAGAACCGCCACCGATTACCAACATGTCATACCTAAAAATCGCCTTTAAAACTGTTATATTACGAAAAGTGCTTTTAAAAAACATTTTGTTGTATTTTCTGTTATGTCAAATTTATGTTAGTTTGGTGTTTTATGACGTTTTGTCGGTTGAAGTTCCAGAGGATAGATGGCGATGTGTTTCTTTTGGTCCTATTGCGCATGATTTGTGTGGAAATCGTATTTTTGTTTATTTTCAGGGGAATTTTATTAGATAAATCAAATTATTTTACCTATTTTAAACTTAATTTTAACTTTGAAACAAAATTTTATAGTAATGATTAAAAATTAAATTTAGTTGTGTTTTTGAGGTTTCCGTTATGTCAAATTGAATTCATTGATTGGTGTTATAGCAAATAGATGGCGTTGGGTTTGTTTTCTATCTATTCCACAATAATTATTGTGGAATAGATAGAAAAGAAAACCTTAAGGTACTCAAAGCACTGATTATTAAAAAATTAAAAATATACGAATTAACGGCTAAGGAAAAAATCACAAGGGTAGTCATACGCAACGCATCGCTAAGAGAAATTTCTTATTGAACAGAATTTTTTCTTTTAGTTTAACGCTAAACCACCAGAATTTAGCTTTTAATAAGCATAATGCGTATGTTACCAACGAGTGTTTTTGAGAATAAAGCCGGAAAATGTTAAAAAATACTTATCGAAAAAAAAACCGTGGCACGATTTGTTGTGTTTTTGGGTCTTTTTCGAGAGGAAATCCTGGGTTGAGTTTTTACCGGTTTTCCAATAAACAGTGAAAATCCGAATGAAGAAATAAATTGCATACATGTACCATGTACATACTGCAGTACCTGTAAATATAAATTATAGGTACTCATTAGATACAATAAATACACATTTTAGTAATGATTTACGTTAAAATTGTAAACATTTCAATTCAGTAAAAATCAGAAAACAAATAAGTCGTCAAAATTCAAACAGCATTTAGCATTATTAAAAGCAAATATAAGAAATATTCCCCAACACCAAAACAAAACACAAAGTGCTTAAAGTATACTTTTCGCGATGCGATGCAGAACATCGTTGGCGAAAAGTACTTTAAGCACTTTGTGTTTTATTTTGGTGTTGGGGAATATTTCTAATAATTGTTTATTATTAAAAGCGTTGATTAAAAAATTCTCCACTCAACAATAAAATACCAAGAACCGGTATTATATTATGTTTAATATATAATATTATGTTGCCATAAATTTCCTTGGTATATTTTGTCGTTTAAAATGCAGTTGTCGGCGTTTTTTATACGACTTAAATATAAAAATATTCGATTTTAAGGTTATGCTTTTACAACAATTTTTTGTTAGATTTCTTAAAAATATCCAAACTTAAATATAAATTATATAAGGTAAAGTTATCATTAGTTCATTCTGCACCAACAAATATACGTACCGTAAGGATCCCTTGGCAAGGCATGAAAATGCAACGATTTAGTTCTTGAATTTTATTTACAATTAAAAACACAATAACTCACCATGATCACTTGGTTTAAATACACACACTAACGTAACTATATAAGCATATAACCGTTGAGTTTCTTAATCAATGATATAAGGAATAATAAATCGAAATCGAGTACTAAACCAAAGTTTTTAGTTTATACTTGCAACGCAAAACACAAATGCTACCACCAGATGGCGCGCGCGTTGAGAATATCCAATGCTTCTTTAGCGTATAAGCGTCCAATAAGGAAAAACTTTCAGGGCAGTGTTTATACATATAATTTTAAAGTGTTGTTTTCTTAAATTTTTAAGAGAAATTTTTTTTGTATAACGATATTTTTTGATGTGGTAGGTAAGTGGTTTTAATTATTTTTTATAATTTAAATAGTTTTGAATAAAAAAATTTTCTTTTTAAATCTTTAATTTTGTAAAGTAATTTTTATAGTTACGAACAAATCGTGTTGCGTTGGGACGGTAGGGCAGGCGCAAGGCAGATCGATGACGTCACCTTCGACGACGGGGCATCGCGTGCTCCGTCGCGAGGTTCGCGGCGTCGAGAAAAAAAGACGGTCGCAGTGTACGATTGGACGCTGCCTGCGAAGCGTGCCGCCCTCACGATAGAAACAACGTGTCGCGAGACAATCGAACATCGCCCGTCAAAAAGGCGCCCTCATTTGAAAACATTTTTGCTTTGGTGATTTTTTTATGTGATTTGGTTTTGATATAGAATGCATTCTTGGATTAGGTTCCAAAAATTATTATTATTTTTCTGAGGTGATGAAAACAACTATTTTCTGGTAGATTAAACATACCTACCTAAGATATAATGGATTTACAACGAAAAATGAAGGGACTTGCCAATAGTAAGTTTTTAATTTACATTTTTTTAACAATTTGTTTGGCTATAAATACACATAAATCATGTGTAGGTTTTTAACATAAAATCAGTTTATAAACATAAAAAACAATTTTAATTTATAGTTGACATTTTATAGTTTATGGGGCGTCAAAATTACACTATAAACTTTAAATTTTAACCCCATTCGTTTTTATTAACATTATTTAAGTACGGGTAATAAAAAATATTTCCGAATAACCAATTTTTTATTTTTTAATGATAATAATTATTGTTATATTAAGATTATTTAAGTATCTACGGTTAATAAAAAATATTTCCGAATGACCAATTTTTTTATTTTTTAATGATAATTAATAATTATTATTGTTATATTATTATTATTATTACTATTATAAAGGTAGGTATCTAGAAAAAAAGGCTTTATAAGAAGAAAAACAAATTTTATAAATTTTTTTAATTCGAGTTTTCATACATAAACATTTCGATTTTCGTCAATTTGGTGAAATTAAATAAAAAACAACAAAAATTCTTTGGACAAACTTTTTAAAAATATTTATAAAAATTTTACTTACTGCTACAATGGTTTAGTAAGTAGTAAGTTTGGAAAGTTTCTTGATAAAGTTTAGGTACATTTTGTTAGGTTAGAGACAGGCGTTTAATATTCATAGCAATCCGCATAAGCAAAGTTTCAAAAACAAAATCGACTTATGTAAACAGTAGTTACACATAATTCAGGAGAAGTTACTGAATAATGCATACATCAACAAAGTTACTAAAGTAAATATGTTTTTCTACTTCCACCCTTAAAACGCCCATTCGTACATGTTTCCACGACACTAAGTGATCTTTTAAATACACATTGACAAGCTGTGACTTTATGGCGTTTTATTTATGGGCTAAAGTTAGTAAGAGGTTTTTAGTGACGGGCTGAAGTTTGCTTTAAATAGTTGACAGTTATCAAATATCATACAAACGTCAAAATAAACTGCTCTTCTTGTGAAATAATAGTAACAGGTGAAAATTATTTTATTATCTTAATACAAAACTACGAAAAAAATAAACAGTTTCTTTTCGCCAATGCATAAGAATTTATAATTTCTCAGACTTGGGTAAAATGTATATAAGGTTATGTTCGTATTATTCAAAATATACAGGGTGATTCAGACTTGTGGTGACAAAAGCTCAGGGGAAATTCCTCTCATCAAAATTTGAAAAAAAGTTCCTATAAACACGTATCCGAAAATGCTTCATTATCGAGATACAGGGTGTTTCGTTAAAAAAAGTGGGTTTTTTATTTATAGCTTAAAAACGCTTTGGCCGATTTTATTAAAATTTATATGGTTTATTAAATAATACCTAAATGATTCAAGGATAATAAACAATCACGTAAAGTTCCCCTAGCTTAAAAATTTGCCATGAGTTTTAATTTCCCAAGTCTCAAAAATTTTAGAAATATTGAGGGCCCCCACCAAATTCGGCCCCAGGGCCTCAAAACTCTTTATCCGGCCCTGTGTTCGTGTCATGCAATAAGGCGGCAACTACCTAAGTAACTAACTAATAAAGGTTAGGTACCACATTTACGCTTTCCACAAAAATTTTTGTTAACACCTATATCCATCAACCCCTTTAATTATACGAACGGAAAGATGGTCTGGACTTTGGTCAATTGAGAATACTTTTACACAAGCAATATTTTTTGGGAATGTAGTAGATATGTTTGCTGAGGGAAAAACACGCCAAGTTAGATTTATTGTTTAAAAAAAGGCGTGGCAACCGAGGGGTCACCCACACCTGGGAATCCCTGGACATTTTAGAAGGGGAATACCATAGGAATACAATGGAAATACATAGGAATACAATAAAATATAATGGGAATACATGGGAATCCCTGGACGTTTTCCCTTTGGGTGGTTGACCCCTCGGTGGCAACTTGCACCTTTCCCCCTTAAAAATTTTATCAGGGCCTGTATTCAATAGGTACTAAAAGTTTGGAAATGATTATATTGTAAGAAACTCCACAATATTATATTTCTATGTATTAATTATTTAATTGTGTGTATTTATTGGTAAGTTTAACTATGTGTGTATTTATTGGTATACCAATAAATACACACATAGTTAAACTTATAGTTAAACTTATAAGTTTAACTATAGTTATAATAATAATTATTTCTATTAAACGCTTGCTTATGAACGTGCACGTAATTTTTTAAATTTGAATGGATTTCAAACAATTATAACGGAGTAAATTTAATAATAATTTATAAACTGTTATTGTAAAGTTTATATTTTAAGGACTTATTTTCAAATGCATATTTTCAATTTTGTCATTCTTGAGGACTTTTAATATTTTGTAATCACACTATATGAACATAGGTGTAGAAAATTTAGGCGCCCACATACAAACATGTATAATTTAAATATTTACTTTTTTGAAATTAAGAAAAATAATCCAAAGGAAATGGGAAAATAACATCATTAATTAAAAAAAATAAATGGAAATTTTAATATGTTTATAAAATAAACTGAAATACCAAAGCGGTATTTGCAGGCAATATTATCGTAATAAAACTTTGTTTGTTGAAATTTGAGCAATTAATTGATACTTATATATTTAGGTACAGAATGAAAGAACAATAATGTGGTTGGAATTGAATTTCAAAATAACAAAACATTACTTCGCAAGTTAAACAAATCAAACAAACAAATTTTTATTTTAAATACATTTTTTTCAAGCGTACCTATAACAATTTTTAAATTATAACATCTATGCATTTAGCTCGAAATCAGTGAAGATAATTGTACTGTAGAGTAAATTCAAACACATAACCTATACAGGGTGTCACCTAATAAATTGTCATCCTTTTGGGGGGATGATAGTACAGGCCAAATCCATAAAGTTTTTCATTAGAGCTACTATTTTTTAATAAAAAAATTATGATTTTTTTTTGACAAATTCAGGGAGCCACTGATCTATTCTATATATCATGATTGATTTTACCTCTAAAAACAATGATATTCACAGGTCTGTGATGATATTATTTATCCAAGTAAAAAAGAAACAGGTAGCGCACAGTGTGTTATAAAATATCAAGCAAACTTTTAAACTTATTCAAAATCGGTTGTTATTGGGGCTACATGAACAGTTTAGTGTATACACAGTGTATGAACAGTTTAGTGTGTACACTTCGCTCTGGTATAGAACAACTCCGCGAACTTGTCACTGCAGCGGCAGATGAAATTCGAAATCATCTGGATATGATAGCAAGAGCGACACATCATAATTTTCTACGCCGCTGTCATAATTAAATAACGGCGGGATAGTTAAACATTTATAATGATTTTGTTGAACAAAAATAGCTACATGAGCATCAATCGACGTAAAAAGTGAAAGGTGAAATTTAAAATCGACGGGAAAACCACGGAAACCTCGAGATATCTAACAATAAAAAATAAGTATTGTTTTATTCAAAGTATCTACCTAAGAATAGCTAGAGTATGCAAAACAAAAAACATTTATCAACAAAGTAATCAATGTTAAACAAATATTAATTTTTAATGAATGTAGATTATTGCCCACTGTGCAAGCATATTTTGCGTCAGTTGTCATGGGTCAGGAACAAGCAATGATTTTTTTTATTAAAAAAATGGTACTAAGGGGACATCCATTAATTACGTGAGGCATTTTTCTGATAATTTGGGCCCCCCTCCCTCTTGGTGAGATTTGGTGAGATGTGGTAGACCTTAACCTTACGTGAGATTTTAGCCATTCAACTTTCTTTGCGGAAAACATGATTAATTTATTTTAACAAATTTGAATTATAAGATTTGGTGAGATTTTACAGGACCCCTCCCCCCAATTGAATAGGTCAATGCAGAAACTGAATATGTCCACTTTTTAGGGATATTGATTTAAACATGGATTTACTATAAGTAAAGGGCCCCCGATCGAATGGCGTAGAAATTTCACATGTCACGGTAATCTAGATTATACAAAGGCGTTAATATAGTAGAGAAACTGAATATGTCCAGAACATGTCCACTTTCTGTTCAGTTTTTCTTATTTATCTCAAAACTAGATAGGTAGGACATATTTAGTTTCTGCATTGACATATTCAATTATGTCTCACGTAATTAATGGATGCAAAAATGATAGAGGAAAAACTTTCTTATTTGGCGTGTACTATCATCCCCTTAAAGAATGACAACTTATTTGGTGACACCCTGTATATAATATTACATATTATGTTCATTAATAATAGCTATTTACATACCATGGGAGGAAAATAGTGCTTTTCCTCCCGCGAATAGTTTGATGCCCGACGCGAAGCAAAGGGCATTAAATATTCAAGGGAAGAAAAGCATTTTCCTCCTGAGGTATGTATATAGTTTTTTTTATTACCTTTTAACGGTTTTAAGACATTTTAAGCGTTCCGGTTCCTTTTACTAACCCGGTATGGGACTATAAAATTATGACAAAATATTAAGTAGGTGTTGCGTCGCCGACGTTATGTTGACAACGCTTTGTTGCTATGGTATTTTTTTAATACAAACATAACAGTTGTTATAAGCTGTCAGAATGTATATCATAAATTACGTTTTGAAAATGAGTTCTAGCGAAGAAGACCTGCCGCAAGATTTTGCTGAAGAGGCAAGAATAGCAATTAATTTCCTTTCTTAAAAAGCGAAAGAGCGATATGAAAATAAATATAGATGTTCAAAGAATGATTGGACAAGCGCGGAGTAAATCTTTTTCCTATAAAATCAAATAGGGCTAGACAAGGTACAAAAACTCTTGCTAATGTAAAATTGTTAAAAAAAAAGAGGAAGGAAATTTTTTTCCTCCCGGGGAGGAAAAGATGCATTTTCCTTCCTCGCTCGGGGGTGGAAAATTAAGTTTTCCAGTAAGGTAGTAGAAAAAATAGTTATTTATGTATCAAGGCAGTAAAGTCGTATTTTTTATCACGAATGTGGACATTATTATAATAACCGCGTGAGCGATAA